CTGGGTGCCTTCATTCTCTCACTCAGGCTAAGCTGTCAGAGAACAAGGACAATGTCACATCTCTCCTAACCCCCAATGAACCTCCCACTAAGTGAGTCCGCAGCACCAGATGCTCAGCAATGCTTGGCTGGCTGACCGAGGCCATGCCAGAGCCATTAGAGAAACTAGTGGTCAAGGTATACTCCAACCACTATGGAAATCAGTATGGAAATTCCTCAAAAAAACTAAAAATAGAAATTCCATTCGACCAAGATATTTCCCTTCTAAGAAATATCTTCCCAAAAGAGTTAAAGACATTCTATAGTGATACATGCATACCCATGTCTACAGCAGCATAATTCATAATAGCTCAATTTTTGAAGTAGCCTATATGTCCAGCAACAGGTGAATGGATAAAGAAAATGTGGTATTTATATGCAATGAAATACTTCTCTGAAATAAAGAATAAATCTGAGTCATTTGTAGGAAAACAGACGCACTGTGAAACCCTAATATTAAGTAAAATAAATAAGACACACAAGCTTAAATATTACATAGTTTCTCTAATATGAGAAATCCAAAGTATAAATACATTAAAGAGAAAAATAAAAAATAAATAATAGGAAACAGGGAGATACGACTTTTGCAAAAAGGAAGGGGACCAAAAGATAGAGGGTGGAGCACAGGAAGAGAGGAGAAGGTTATGTAAAAAGAAGATGTGTTAATGTATACATTTCAACTGCCTGTGATGAATGCAATCACTATGCACTGCAAATACGGACTAATAAAAATACAGACATTTTACAGGACATTACAAGACTGTGAAAGCAACTCCCTTCATTTTTTTAAACTTCCCCTTCACATGTACAAATCTGTAAACATAAAACTTTTTTTGGGGGGGGTACCAGGGATTGAACTTGGGACCTTGCGCTTGCGAGGCAGGTGGCGGAACCCCTGAGCTAAATCCCTGGCCCCCCATCATAAACTTTTAATTCAAGAGCATCATCCAAATTTAACACCAGGAACATGTAGCTATCTTTGACTTTCTTTTATCTGATTCAGAAATGCTTACGGCCATGTTTTCTTTTGATCTGAAGTGAAGTGACCACAGTAGCTGTAATTTTGGGCATTTGATCCAGGTTCTACAACTCTACTTAATACATACTCTCCATGGTTACTAAGTTCCCATACTTGTCAACACTTACAGCATTGTGCTACTTTCTCACACTTCTAACCAAATTTTCAGGAAACATCTGGAATAATACCAGAGACTTGGTGTTTGATCAAAACTACATCCTTTGCCTCATTCATTTGGAAGTGACTAATTTCAACCCTTAGGTTTACCCCAAGTATGGATGTGTACGACTCAGGAGCTTGCTAACACCAGCAGAGACACAATGGACACATTAAATTACCAATGGAAACTCTGAAACGGTGTTCACATCCTCTGCCCTGACAGAGCTGAGGTATTGCACAGTACTGTGAGTACTGTTCTCTGTTTTGCAATAATCCTGGTTAACTACAGATTGAGTATCTTTTATTCAAAATGCTTGGGACCAGAAGTGTTTTGGATTTTGGAATATTTACATATATATAATGAGGTGTTTGGGGGATGAGACCCAAGTATAAACACAAAATATATTTATATTTCAAATAAACTTTGTGTACATAGCCTGAAGGTAACTACACAATATTTTTAGGGTAACCTGCAACTCACCACCTGAGGGCAGGTATAGAATTTTTCACTTGTGGCATCATGTTGGTACTCATAAAGTTTTGGATTCTGGAGTATTTCAGGTTTTAGAATTTTGAAATTAAGGATCTTCAACTTGTGCTGACTATTCAAAGGCAACCCAAAGACCCTCAAACAGGACTTTAAACTCACTCCAATATTATAAAACGACAGCTCCAGAACACTGGTTTTCAATTCTGGCTAAACACTGGAAGCAGCAGAAGAGGTCCTAAATGCCAGTGCCCACTTCCCCTTCCTTCTCTCATTGCCCCCACAAAGATTCTAATCTGACTGGCTAGGAGTGAAATCTAACCATCAGGATTTTCTGAAAGCACCTTAGCTATATACTGCATGGATTAAGGAATCACTGTTAAGTGTATCAGCTGTAACAGCTATAAATATAGCACTGTGGCTACATTTTTTAAAAAGGAATTCCATGTTAGCAGGAAAGCTGGTGAAATTTAAATAAAGTCTCTATTTAGCAGTATTGTACCAATGCTAATTTCCTAGTTTTGATCAACTATACTAAGGTTATATAAGATACTGACTTTGAGAGAACTTTCATAAGGAATATTCAGGTTCTCTCTGAATTATTTTTGTGACTTTTCACTAAGTCTAAAATTAATTCAAATTAAAAAGTTTTTTAAATGTTAAACATTTATTTTTAAAATTAAATTTGTTTTCAACTAATACATAAAACAACAACCGCACATATTAGTGGACTAATGTAATGTTTCAAGGCATGTATACACTGTATAGTGTTCACATCAGGTTAAACCATCTATCTCCAAAAAAGGTTTTACTTTAAAGAATCTTTACTTTTAAAAAATACATACATAAATATTTCCAAATGAAACAACACTCTGAAACAGACTAATTGGGAAAGTGGCAGGGAGGAAGTGAGGTTTGGATGATACAGGAGTGTGCACAACTGATGAATGCAGTAACTAGGTGATAAGTACATGAAACTTCAAGGTATTAGTCTTCTTCAGGGTATGTGCAAAATTTCCCATCACCTACACCCTGGAGGGACAAAATCTCAGGTGATCCTAACACTTACCTACGACCAAGAAACACTATTGTATAAGGAGCTCTGTCTGGTATTAGCAGCTGCTGAACGCTTTACCCAGCTCTCTGACTCTTGAGTCAATCACTTCATCTCTCTGTACCACACTTTCCTAAATTGCAAAATAAGATACGGATCACAGGACCTTTTTTAAAAAGGCAATTTATTATTCTAGAATCATCTGAAGGCCAATGTCAGAGTTAACTTCTAGCACAATAGAAAAAATACTCAACTCTTATGTCTACAAGAACATTTCCAAATTAATGTCCTAAAAAACTTTACTTCTATTGCTTCTCAGCCTTTTGGCTAAGATCAAGTGAAAAACTTTACTTCTATGGAATGTTAGAGATATTACCTAAGATAAGGGTTCTGAGATCAAGTAAATTTGAAAAGTGCTGGTTCTTTTATGTAAGCTACTTAAAAACTTTAAATAACATGCATTATCCCTCTCCAAGGAATGGTAACAGAATGTGAAAACAGCCTAATCCTCTTTACTTGGGACTAGTCTTTGTAGAAGCTACTATGGAAAACAGTGCTTTAGACCAATGTTTCCCAAATCCTACCTAATGAAGAGGTATTTGTATTTTTTGGTAAACTTATGAAACAATTATTCAAAGACCACACCTTATACCTACTGAGAGGAGGAGAGAACCCAACATGCAAACAAAAATACCCAAGTGAGTGGGGCATGGTGGTACAGGCTTGTAATCCCAGCACTCTTAAGACGCTAAAGCAGGAAGATCACAAGTTCAAACCCAGCCTGGACAGCTTAGCAAGATCCTATCCCAAAATTAAAGGGGAGCGGGGGAGGTGTTGGGGAATTCCTAGCCATGGAACTCAGGGCAAAGGTCTTGGGTTCAATCTCTAGTACCACCAAAAAAAAAAGTTATTGCTGATACATGGTGTTTGGGGATCAGCATTCTATAGACCATACTACAGCAAAGCCAAGTTTATAATATTCGAAAGGCCACATCAATTCCAAACAATATGAAAGGTCTTACTTAACAGTTTTCAAATACTAGTATTTAATCCACGGGAGAAGAGTATCTATATGCATATGAAATTTTATAAAGTATTAAAACATTAGAAGTGCTGGGCAGTTTAAATCTGTTAATATAACTAATGACCACTTCATAACGTTAAGGATAAATGATCTCTATTATTAACTGAAAAGTGATTTGTGGCTCTGTGTCTCCATGTCCATCTTCTTTTTCTTTCTCTATTTTTTTTTTTTTGTACCAGGGATCGAACTCGGGACCTTGTGCTTACAAGGCAGGCGCCAGAACCACTGAGCTAAATCCCCAGCCCACATGTCCATCTTCTTTTACCAGAATTAATGACCAGGGCCATTCCGTTAAATTCAGGGAGTGCCATTCCTACACGTGGCTTCACGACAGAGTTCCTGACCTTTCCCTTATATAATACTACCTCAAGTATCAGGAAAACTTAATTGGTAACTCTGGAAACTATATTTACTCATACCCTGATGCTCCTAGAACTATGCCATTCAGTGACCTGGTCAATGATACATTTTAGTGCTTAAAAGAAGAACCTACTTACGGTTATTGGTAATTATATAACATTTGTACTGAGTTCTTTAGTTCACTAAGTATTTTCCCATGAATTACACTGTGTCTTTCCTCACAAAAGCCTGTGGGCTAAGTAGGCATAATTATTTCCATGCAACCAGTAAGAACTACTGAGCTTTTCATGTGCTAATACAGTGAAAAATGTAACCGAGGGGGATGTCAAGGCTCCTACTTTCAAAGAAATAATAAACTTCTAGGAAAGAAAATATAAATTATATACAAGAAACAGCTAAAGTCAACTCAAAGCTATAATGTTAGCTGAGCAAATTAGCATGGCAGGACACATACTAACAATAGCTAACACCTACTGAGCAATTTCATTGTCACTCAACCCTTGTGTTAAGTTAGTACTATTAGCCTCACTTTCATGAATAACCTGAGGCAAAAAGAAGTTTAAGCAGCCTGCCCAACCAAACCAGTAGCAAGCCAGGATTTAAACTCCCGGCTGGCCTGCTCTGTGGACCACTCTTCTCATTATCACATTTTACCACTAGGAAAGAATCTCCTCAAACCAATGGAGACAAACATCACCTCTTAGATGGAAAATGGCTGGGGATCACTGGCTACCTTGTCCAGTAGAAGAGGAAACAGAAGTTACAGAGACTCAGCGATGCTCTGTCCCCAAGTACATTACCTCCTTTATTCGTTTAATCAAAGCATTCTGATCAAAAGCTACTGCCTCCGCACACTGGTGCAGGTGATCCTGGTACCGGAGGCAGAGCTGCAACACCTGCTGAGAATCCAGTTTCTCCAATTTGGTATTTGTGGGGGATGTCTGGCCACTCAACAGCCCTGCAACACAGAAAAAGAGAATGAAATGAAATGAAAGCTTCTGCTAATAAATTTGTGAATAAAACTGGTATAATGAGTTCACTGAAGGGAGAGGATAAAATTGAATCTTGCATCTTTTGGTGTACGCTAATCATCCCAACTATCACTTACGGAGTATCTGTCACCTGGCAACCACTTTTGCCAAGTGCAACATTCCTGTGCATTATTTTTCACATTCATATCCTGGAAAATAAGGCATTGCTTGCCTCAGTTTACAGATGAGGCAGCCAAGACGAAGAGGGACTCAGTGACTCCCAAAGTCTTGTAGCTAATGAACTGGTTCCCCAAGACAGAGCTCCGATCTTACCATGCTACCAGTACTTTCAGGTATTAGGAATATAAATCCCGTTCTTGGCTAGAAGTTGTATTAATTTCTTTTAGTAATTAAAATGGTGGTCTGAAAAACTGAGAATATTGTAAAATGTGTAGGAAAACTAAGAGGAGATTCTAAAATGAAAAAATTTAACAAGTAAATGGGCTGTCAAAACATGGCCAAACTCATTCTTTACACTTTCTTTCAGCAGCACTTTAGTAATATAACTATTAAACTCCTCTGAATTCAACACAAGATAATACATTTTCAAAGCCTTTCATATATAATTACCTGATTTTTCTTTCTAGAACAGGATAAAATTATTAGCATTTACAGAAGAATCAAGCCAGGTGCACTGGTGCATACCTGTAATCTCAGCACTTAGGGAGGCTGAAGCAGGAGGATTGCAAGATCAAGTCTGATTTAGGCAACTCAGTGAGACCCTATCTCAAAATAAGAGAAAGGAAAGAAAGAAAGGGGGGAGGGAAAGAGAGAAAGGAAGGCAGAAGGGAGGGAGACAGGCGGGGCTGGCATGTACAATAGCTCAGTGGTAGGATCCCCCTGGGTTTCATCCCTAGAACCTCAGAACCCCACACAGACAGAAAAACAAGAGGAAGAATCAACGAGGGGCTAAGTGACTTCCCCATAGTCACAAAGCAAAGCCCTGACTAGAACCGAAGCCTACTGACTTGCGGCCAAGTGCTCACTCCCAACGCATCAGTTCTCAAACTTTTGGGTGTGAAAACCCTTTTAAACTCTCAGAATTCACTGTGGGCTGCAAAGAGCTTTCATTTCTGTGAATTAAATCTAGTTATTCACCTATTAATTAAACTTGAGGAAATTCCGAATATTAATTCATTTAAAAATAACACCATTACAAATAACATATTTAAAGAAAAACAGCTATATTTTCCAAAACAAAAAAAGATGAATGCCAATGGTTTATATTTTTCTCTCTGTAATGTCTGCCTTAATGGAAAATAGCCAGATTCTCATATCTGATTCTGTATTTAATCTGTTGCTGTTCACCTCATGAAACTTCCAGAAAACTCTACAGCTGACATGTAAGAGAACAGGAGTGACTTGCAAATAATGTGCAAGTATTATTGCCAAGAAAGATTTGACCTCAGATAGTGGCCAGCAGGGCCTCAGGGTCTTAAACAGTCATTCCCCTCCCACATTCTGAGAACCAGTAAGCATGCCACCCGTCTCATACTAGGGCCAGTGCTGCAGCACAAGGTACATTGAAATACAGGTGACAGCTGGGCAGATCTGAGCCTAACTGGGGCAGACTCACCCCATCAAAGCTTATCTTTGGGACCCCCCCCACTGCAGTCTCCCAAGAACCAATTTCAACCCCTCACTGCTCTGACGCACTGGAGCATAAGCCAGTGATTTCGCCCCCACAGATGGCTGACAGGATGGGCTCCCCAGAGAAGGCTCGACCATGCTTCTCAGTGCTCAGATCTTTCCTGGACCTGAAGAGCAGAGCTGGAAGCTCCACATGGCACTGCCAGCACCAAGTCCTTGGCTGATCCACTGCTGTCCTAACACAGGAATGCGTCAGTTACTTGAACCAAACCTATATCCAGGGAGTACCTTGGAGGAATCTAGAAGTAGTATAAAGAGGGATTTATTTTTTTAACTGAAATTTTAACACAGTGAGACCTGTGTACTCTTTACCCAGTGTCCCACAATGATAACATCTAATATATCATAACCAGGATCCTGACATTGATGCAATCAACTAATATTTAGATTTCCCCATTTTACTTATATTCATTCATGTATTTAGTTCTATACATTTTTTTCATAAGTGTAGGTTCATGTATTCACCATCAGTCAGATTCTAGAAGGTTCCATCACATAAAAATGTTACATAAATGGAATAATACAGTATATAACTTTGGAGTCTGGAATTTTACCAACATAACAGATTAGACATTTTTATTTTGCAGGTCCGAGGCAGCAGACATTTCTATACATCATTGATGTACCAATAATTTGTTCTTTTTTATTTCTGAGTAGTATTCTATAGTTTGTATATACCAGAGTGTGTTCAAGCATGGACCCACTGAAGGACACGTAGACCGTTTCTATTTGGGGGCTATTACAAATAAAGTATCTATGAGGAGTCATATACAGGTCTTTGTGTAAACATAACTTCTCACTTCTCTGGGACAGATGCCCAAGAACACAAGTGCTGGGTCATATGATAATTCCATGTCTAGTTTTATAAGAAAATGCCAATTTCCCAGAGTGTTTGTAGAAAAAAATGGGAAAATTTCAGACTAATAAATCTAACAAAATTATCAATAGATAGCCTATCATTGGCAAGGAATGTAGGTCCAGGAAAGCAAATGGGGGAAAGTCTCTGCTGTCAGTCTAAGAGTGAAAAAAGAAGAGGTAGAAGGCACCAAGGAAAGAGGAATGAGTGATTCTGTGCCATCAATAGTGGGCCATGATAATGCTATAAAGAAAACATGGATAAATTCAACAATAGCAACATGCTTCATGGCACAAAAACAAGTTAAACAATCTGAAAACCTGGGGAAAATATTTGCAACTCACATCACAAAGGGGAATCTTAATATATGAAGAGTTCCTAGTAAATGGCCAAAAAAGAAAAATGAACAGAGGATATGTAAAAACATTTCACACACACAAAAAACAAAACAGAAGTATCAATGCCTTAATCATAAGATGCACAACTCTTATAAGAAAAACAAATTAAAACTGCATTGCACACCACTCAGGAGGCTGGGGCAGGAGGATCACAAGTTCAAGGCCAGCCTGGGCTACACACTGAGTTCAAGGCCAGCCTGAATGACACAGAGAGACTCTGTCTCAAAACACAAAAATACAAAACAAAACAAAAATTTCATTACAGGCCCATTTTTCACCTGTCAAATTGGTAAAAATCCAAAATCATGAAAAGTCTGCCATAGGTGGCACCATGAGGAAACAGGCTTTGCTGACTGATGTGTAAATTGTTAACACTGCTATAGAGGGTACTTTGGTGTGGATGCAGCAATTTCACTACTAGGGATTTACACATATGTTACCATGCATGCTAAATGACATGTAATGTCCATATAAGAATGTTTACTGTGGCAGGGATAGTCACAGCAAAAGGTCAGCAAACGCCCCAATGTCCACCAATAAGAGGCATAAATCAAAGTATATCCACAAATGATATTAACCTATAAAAGAATGAAAAAGCTCTCCAAGTACTCACACAGAAAAATCCCCATAAGATATTAAATAATACAAAGTATATATAAAATGCTTGGAATGTGTCATCATTGTGTAAAAATGGGAGGGGTGCAAGTAAGTAAAAATGTATGCTCAAATTTACTTATTTTTACATAAAGAACTAAGAAGTGATAAGAATTAGACAGGGAGCAAAGATAGGGAGAGAGACCCTGATAGTATACTTCTAACTTTTTTCCCCAGAGTACTGGGACCTGAACCCAGGGCTTCTGTCTTGGGGTCAACCATGGACCGAATCCTCTAAAAACTGTGTAAAATAACCACCTCCTCCTTGGTGTCATCCACTGGTCTGTATGTGTTTTTATACTAGTATCACATTATTTGTATACTCTAACTTTGTAGTATATTTTGTTTTTGTTTTTTGGTACCGGGGATCGAACTAGGGACGTTGTACTTACGAGGTGGTAGAACCAGTGAGCTAAATCCCCAACCCTTTATAGTACATTTTCAACAGAAGTACTGTGATACTTCCAGCTTTCTTTGTTTTTGCTGAGACAAAAGGTCTTCTAGGACACAGCTACTCTAGGCCTTTGTAGTTTCAATTTTAGAATTAGTTTTTCTCCTGTAAAGAATGTCTTTGGTATTTTGATAGGAAACACACTCAATCTATAGATAATTTGGATGGTATATTTTAGCAACATGAATTTTTAAAATCCATGAACATGGGATGTCTTTCCATTTTTGACTGTGTATCTTTCTCAATATCTTTCATCAGTGGTTTGTGATTTTCACTGTGGAGATCATTCACTTCCTTGGTTAAACTTATTCCTTTAAAAAAATTTTTGGTAGCTATTGTGAATGAGATTTCTTAGCAATTTCATTGTTGTTGTATAAAAATGCTCTGGGAAGCTGAGCAAGTTCCAGGACAATCAGGGCAACTTATGACTTAGCAAGACACTGTCCCCCCCCCCCAAAAAAAAGCGCAGCAGCAAGATATATCATGTACTGGTACAAATTCCCTATAAGTGCTATCATTATATCTAAAACATACCAATAAATGTTTTTCTAATAAAAATTTAAGAAGTATTCATATTTCTGGACAATGTATAAAAATATAATATTGTAACATTCAACAACTGAAAAGAGTGAGAACTGACCAGTAAAAGGGCATTTTTTTGTATGCTACTGAAGTCAGGCTGGTATAAATTAAAATTGGAGCACTGTAACTTTAGGATATCAAACACAGCCCTCATGATAACCACAAAGAACACAGCTATAAAATATACACAAAAGGAAATGATAAAGGAATTTAAATGTTTCACTATTCAAAATCAACTAAACACACAAGACAGCAATGTAATGAATGAGGGACAAAAATGCTATAAGGCAGTAGTGGTGAACCTATGGCCCATGTGCTGCAGTCAACTATTTGTTA